GTTCGATCAGGGGCCATATCAGTCATGTGCTTGTATTGACCCAAAAAAGCTTGAGCTAAATCCCTCCAAGAACGTATTTGAGTACGTTTTAGCTGATTATACCATCTGGATGCAGACCCAGATAAACTGTCTTGGAAACAGTGGATCAACAACTTTTCATTCTCTACATAGCCAGTCATACGACGACAATAAATAGTGATATGATATGAAGGGCATGTGGTCCCATTATACTTCTCAAAATCTGTAACCTTGAACTTTGGTGGAATAACCAGGCCAGGGACCAAACTTAGTTCTTTGGCATCAAACCCATAAAATGACTCAACTGTCTCTATAGATTTTATCACCTCTTCTATATTTTCCAGTCGTTGAGTGAATTTTTCCTTCTCAACTGATTTGTTTAGGTCAAGGACTTCATTACTAATATAAAATTCATCAGGCTTCAACTCAGAAGTAGTAGGACAATCAGTGGGGAACGATGCTCCAGCTTGATATGGTGAGTTCTTAACAGCGAAGTAAATCGGTGATTGAATTTCCTGGGGTACAGAGGTGAACTCAGGAATATGAACAGGTGTAACATCCAAAGAATTTATGGGGTTTTCAACAAGACTCTTTCCAGCGGTCTGGTGCTTCTCAATCATTTTTTTCATATTGTTCAGTAGATCGATATGAGAATTTGTGATATTAGCTTCAATTTGTGCCAACTTGCTCCTCAATTCCTCTTGTATTTCTTTATGCTCTATCTCAAATTTGGCTTGCCTATCCTCAGTTTCTTTAGACATTTTTCTTGTGTCGTGCTGAGCGTTCTTGCTTCAAGGAAAAACCAAGATCACTTCGTTTGAAATCCTTATTTTAATGAATGAATGTTTTAATGTATTATGACATAAAAAATACAAAGATGCCAAATGCAAATGTAAATATGTGAATGTAATAATAAGAATACAAATTGTGCAATACAAAAGCAAACATAAAAATACAAATGCAAAGATGCCAAATGTAAATATGCAAATGTAAAAATGTAAATGTAAATTATTTAAAATACCAGAATAAGACATCTAGTTATATTAAGACTGCCCTTTTCTTTGATATTGAAAATAAATAAACATTATTATTTAATTAAATATGTTTTAATGCATGATGTAAGTTTAAAAATGTAAATGTAAATACAAACGTAAAAATGTACAAATGCAAAATACAAATGCATGTATGAAAAGGTGTTACTCAAGAGTGATCATCTTAGAACAGATTTCATTGAACGCAAAAGTTTCGGTACATCAAACAAAACTTTACATATAGGGATATATTTCATTCCTAACTTCTCCAAAGCTAAATTAGTCTATCAGCTTAAGGGATATATTGCTTGTCTGGACTGCAACTTCTTCCATGACATTCTCCTTCATCTTCTGTGTCACTTCTCGGAGTTGTTCATTTTCCCTTGTAAGAGAACCTTTCTGTCCAAGAAGTTCTTGAACAAGATCTTCATATATGTTGCAGTTCTTTTTCAGCTTGGTGACCCCTGTGATCCACTCTTCTGGGGTGTTTCCTATGCCAGCATTTTGAAAGGCTTGACTAATCTTCTGGAAATCTTCATGCATGGCTTCCATTTCTGTGCTCAATTTCTTGTTTTGGTCCTTCAAATAACACGCTTGAGCTTCATAAAAACCTCCTCTATTCTGTGTGTCCCGACTGATACTCTTACCATAGACTGCTTTTGGTATCAATCTGGCAGGATCTTTGTGGAGTACTTTTGGTATTAATATAACAGGATCTCTGTGTGCATTACTTGCTTCTATCCTCAGGGTTTCCTCAGGATGTCTTTCCTTGGCCGTATCATATTTTGTTTGATCATAAAACTTTTTGTCCATTTACAATTTCTTTCCAATATGATGAACAGTCTTTCAAGTAAACACCTTTTGGTTATGCCATGATCATGCAATGCAAGCAAAAGAAATAAGAAAAAATAGAATAGTTAGTACCAATTAATGGAAAAAAAATCTATTTATCAAGGTATAAATCCTAACCTCATGCTTTCTAGTTCCATGCTTTGTTTGAAAAAATTAGCTTAACCGCATGATTTCTAGTTTGCATACATTTATTCAGGAAAAAGAAAAAGAAATAAAAGCTAGAACTTATTTCTCCTTTGTGTATACCTACTGACAAAATGGTTTCAGATCGGGAGAGTTTCTAGGTTTAATATATGCAAGGCTTCAGTTCTAGGAGTAAAGGTACTCGAACTGTCCTTGTTGATGCCCCCTTGGGCTGTCAAACCCTCAATCCTAGTCCATCACAGACTTAAGCGAATCGAGTTCAATTCGAGGGGACACATTTCTTTATGCCTGACACGGAGAATAAATTCTCACGAAGACATAGAGCATATAAACCCCGAAAGCTACTTGCTAGGTCTGACACGGAGAATAAATTCTCACGAAGACGTCGCTTTCACTCCCACTTAAAAAGGGACAAATCTTAGTTATAGAGATTATGTTTATGCAATGCATGTGTTGTGTGTGAGGATAAATGTTCAAACATCTGACAGATAAATAATGAAATAAAATACTTGAAAAATAAAATGAAACATTAATAAAATAATATACATATAAATATTATGAAAATAATAAGTATATATAAAAATTTTGAAAAGAAAGAATTAAAAATTAAATATATGAATTTTTAATTTTTAATTAATAGAGACAATTTATAATTGATTTTAAAGTTTGACCAATCCCTAGTGGAGTCGCCAAGCTGTCGTAACCGGTTTTCGTCCGGGCACGAATTTTTTACTTGGCGGGAAAAGTGATGTGAATAAATGGTTTTTAAAATAATTTGGGAGTCGACATCGGCCTTTTGGGTCAGGTAGGTCGAATACCTAAAAATCATCCTTTAAAAGAGTTTTTAAGAAAACATCAATTAAAAGATAAACTGATCTGCGTTTTAACCAAAAATTCGTTCTTTTTAATAATAAAAAGGGATTCATGGTCGGTTACGTTTAGGGAAGGATTAACACCCCTACAACGCCCAAAATTGGTACTTTTTAATTATAAATTGTCTCTATCATTAGAAATTTAAAAATTCAAATATATATTTAACTTATAATATTTTTTTATTTCAAATTTATGATTTTATGAAAATATATTAATATAAATAAGATATTTATTTATTTAGAAATATCAGAAAAGGGCTTCTAGGTGCTTTAAGACAACTCTTTTCTTTGATATAAAAATAAATAAAACATTTATTAAAAGTTAATATAGGATTTATACAAATAGGATATTTAGCAAAAATATTAGAAAACGGACTTCTAGGTTTTTTAAGACAGTCCTTTTCTTAATATTGAAAAATAAATATATATTAAAATATGATTATTAAAAGTAATTTATGAAATATAGGATTTTAATAGAAAACAAATAGAATAAATAAACAAATATTATTATATATATATATATTTATATAAATAATATAAATAATAATAATGAAATAATAATTAAAGCAATAATAATAATAAAATAATATTGCAAATAATGATTAAAATAAAAGGAATTAAAAATATAGCATTAAAATGTAAAATATTAAAAATAAATAGTCAAAAATGAAAATTTAATGATTAAAATGTAAAATTATAAAACTAGAGTCCTAATTCGAAATATATAAAAGATGGGCATTAAAAGTGTAATTTAACCATAATTCATAATACGGGATTAAAATAATAATTACTAAACTATGAGGGACTAAATTTGATATTTACCCTAAATATATATATATGTTGATAAGGACTAAATTAAAATAAAATAAAATTAGAAGACTAAACTAAAATAATCAGAAATCAATTTCAGTGACTAAATTATAATGATTATAAACTTGGAGCATTGCAGACAAGGTTTACCCTCTTCCCAAAACGCACCGTTTCATCATGAAACGGCTTCGTTTTATATCGGGTATAAATACCCTAAACGGCTGGCCCGAAGGGCCAGCATCCTCATTTCTTCTCTTCTTCTTCTCTCTCTAGCTGAGAGAAAAAATATTTTCTCTACCTTCTCTCTAAAACCCTCCATCGGAGGGAGTCCAATTCCGGCCGGTAGCCGTACTCCGACGCCGACACCACCGCCGACCACCGTACATGGTGGTCGGAATTCTGGAAAAATGGCCTAAATCGAAGCTCTATTTCCCCAAAGCCCAAATCTAACATTTTTTTCGTCTAAAACTCTTCCACTAAACGTAAATCTAAAAAAAACCCGAAGGGTTCTACCTTCGATTAAACGACGGTTCAACGACGTTTGGCTTCCGTTTGCAGAATAGGCTTCAAAGGTAAGTCTCTTTCTTCTCTTTTCTTCCGTTATTTTCGAATGATCGCTTGTTGGTGTTGTTGTCCCCTTTGCTCTTGGGTTCTTCGTTTCTGTTTTTCTCCCCCTCCTCTGTGTTTGTCTCTCCCTTTCGTTTTGCAGGATCCGGTGGCTTTTATAGCCACCACGGAGCCATGCTCGAACCGGTCCAGAGGGGGAAGTTCGGTGAGTCACCGAGCTATGTGGTGACTCATCCCATAGCCGCGACGTGTGGGGGCAGCTGGATCTTCTGGAGCGTTCTGTTGAAGCAGTGGCAGCAACTTCCTGAGGCGGCGGGGTGGCAGTAGTAAGCGAAGCAACGACGTGGCCCTAGGGTGATGATACCCTAGGGTTTCCTTTGGCACATCTGGGGACCGTTGGATCAAGGCCATATCCAACGGTTGAGAAGAAAGGCGGCCGAGAGATTATATTAAAACCCTAAGAGGGTTTAGGGTTTATTATTAGGTTTGGGCCAGTCTGTTTGGGACAGTCTGGTTTGTAATCGGGCTTATGGTTTTGGGCCTGCAATGTATTAATTAATGATTTAATAAATATAATATAACATAATAATAATAATAATAATAAATAATATAAGCAAATGAGAGAGAGAGAAAAAAACTAGTGTCTTCACCATGAAAATCATACATTTAAGAAACAAAAAATATTAGAAAGGAATTGAAACTTTACTCCGTAAACTTCTTTGAATCATGTCTTCGCATTCTTTAACGGTGCATCCTTCGTATTTCTTGTAGGATTCTTCTTCCATTTTTCAGTGTTGGAATTTTGGGCAAATAATCAACACCCCTATAGCTGCCTGGTGCTTGTGCCTTTCTTTACCAAGAATTGGTCGTCGGTATTTCCGATTGGTTTTAGTAAAAAAAACAAGAGTTAATTGCATCAAATGCACTCAACATATGATTCTTATTTTAAATTGATCTATAAACTTTTAAATATTTCAAATTCATTCCTAAACTACGACTATCATTCTAAATTAATCCTTAAACTTTTAAATATTTCAATTTCATCTTTAAAACATGACCTTAATTCTAAATTGGTCCCCAAGCTATATGTATATACTAATTGCATCCCTTGTTGATAAATCATTAAGCCAAGTTGTATTATTATATGTTTGAGAAAAACAAATGTTAGGTTACATTATCGTTGAAACTTATTACATATTTGGATAAATTTAATGATGAAATTGTAATATTCAAAAGTTCGGAAACATATAATTTTATAGACTAATTTAAAATGAGAATCATATTCTATAGATGAAATTAAAAAATTCAAAAGTTTAAAGATCAATTTAAAATAAAAGTTATAATTTAAAAACATATAATGTAGTTAACTCAAAAAAATTGGGTGAGTATATAAGATGGTCGGTGTAAATGAGTAGATTTATATTTTCATCAGTAAAATTTTAAAAGCAATGAAACAAGCATTAATATTATCATATAAATATTAGGTTGAAAGTATTACTCCCAATAATAAAAAAGTGATGTGACACGTTACTTGATATTATTGCATTGCACCCTATAGGTCTCTTGATGATCAAGTCGAACCATGACTAATGGTTAGTAGGCCTCAGATTTAGGTTAAGCATCATTTGCTGCCCAAACCAAAATCCAAATCCCATCACCCATACCTCCTTCCAACGTCCCACCTTAGCTTCGTCTACACACCTCTGCCCATTTCACCAATCAACATCTATCATGAATATTTTTTTATTTTAGAATAATTGTATTTTATAACTCGAATTTAACTTTAATTTTTTTTAATTCAAACCGAGTTTTTAAATTTTTATATTAATTTCATGATAACCTATTTTTACTTTATCATTATTTTTGAATTTTTATCAATCGGGTCACCTAACTATTTAAATGCATTCAATTAAACAACTAGTCATTAACCGTTAATAGAAGTATTAATGTGACAATTAATAAAATTAGTATAATTTATATTTGTTCATTGTTAATTATATATTCTATCAATTTGATCTTAATTTTAATAAAATTAAAATAAATTTAATCTATGAATTAGATCGTGCCACGTGACTTTAGTGTCAAATATCATGACATGTGTCGTCAACTGATTAGAGAATTTAATTTATTTTAATTTAATAGATTTATATTTTATCAATCAAATGATGACATAAGTTACTCTTTGATTGAAAATTGAAATTATTGAAATGGGGGAATGAATGAATCAAACCTGGGCCTTGGGGTTATATAGTAGCTTTCCAACCATTGAACCAAGCAGATTAACTAGTTCAAGATAGATTACGTATGATATATATTTGAGAAAATAACCTCAGTGACCAAAAATGCCTTATAATATACGATTTTAACCAACATTTTTTGGATTTGCCAAAATGACCAACTAAATTGCAATGCGATCGATAATTCGCAACGCGATCTCCGGTATCGCAAATCAGTTTCCATATTCGCAACGCGATTCTGACTATCGCATTGAGATTTCCCAAATTCGCAATGCGATTACGTAAATCGCAATGCGATTACGTAAATCGCAATGCTAATACGTAAATCGCAATGCGAATATGTGTTTTGCCTCAGTGTGCTCAAACACTAGAAGATGTCGGGTTTGAAAGATGGTCAAGAGTACATCAACTTGGAGCAAGATATAGTTTCATGACGTCTAATAGTGCAGAATCAATCAACGCTCTAAGTCGTCATTCCCGGAAATTACCCATTACTATGTTAATGGAGTTTTTTCGAGCCTGTATTCAACAGTGGTACTACAAGAAAAGAAACCATGCAGGTATTATTTCTTTAAATTCATAACTTATCATATATTTTACTAAGTATTATTTATTTAAATTTACAGGAACATTGGAACATCGTGTTACACCATGGACTGAAAAAAAGATAACGAAACGTGTTGTGAAGTCAACTTCATGGAGAGTTGAACCATGTTCAAACACTTTGTTTGAAGTACTGGATAATAACTTAAATGGACTTGTCGATCTAAATGTAAAGACGTGTAGTTGTATGAAATGGCAAACATCTAGTTATCCGTGTGGCCATGTTATAAAAATTTCTCTTCATCTAAACCAAGATGATTCAAGTGCATACGCTATGGATTGCTACACTACAAAAGTATATCGACAGACTTATGGCGAGATTGTCTACCCTATTCCACATCCTTCTGAGTGGGACATACCAGATGACTTACAAACAGTTTTGCCACCAGCCATGGACAGAAGGCTACCTGGCCGACCAAAAAGTCACGATCGTATACCGTCTAAGGGTGAAGAGAAGAAGAGATCGACATGTAGTCGGTGCAAGGAAAATGGTCATACAAGGTTGACATGTGGATCACCAGTGCCATCATAATCATCTTTTCCTCTACCAAAATATGGATCTTCATCAAAATCTCAATCACAACCGGCTTCACCTTTTGGGACTGTTAACTTAGGTGATTTTTAAATGCAAACGTTGTATTATGTGTATATTATGTGTGAACTTTTAACATTTTCAGTTAGGCATGTATTAGTAACTTGAGTTTGAACATTGCTATGATATGTTCAGTTGTTATCACTTATTAGACATTCATTTGACTATCGCAACGCGAATATGACTATTGCAACACGGAAATGACTATCGCAACGAGAGAATCGCAATGCGAAATAAAAATCGCAACGAGTGAATCGCAATGCGAAAATGAAAATCGCAACGCGAAATTTGCGATAGTCATTTCCGCGCTGCGATAGTCTGTTTTGCATTCAACATAATGCAGATTGAAATCAACAAATCAACTATTACATTTCAATCAATTAAACAAGCACAAATAATAATTATGTACACATCAATTAAACAAATTAACATTTACAAATCATCTTTTACAAATCAATTAAACAATCAAAAAATAATAATGAATTATTTCCTCATCAATTATTGAATCAACTTTTGCACCCATACATCCATTTCACGCAGCTCACTTCAGGATTAACCTGCAAAAACCAAACATTGAATCAACAACACTTTCTACACATCTAAAACCTACAAACAACAAATTATTGAATTCTAGCTACTTAACCAAACATTTTCAAACCAAAAAGAGTATATATGTTTAACAACACTTGAATTTGACTTACAAATTGTTTATGGACACTTTCATAACGCGGATGCAGGTAGGCAGTGTATCGCATATATCGCTCTAGCCATAAAATATCGAAACCACAAGCCTACTGCACCTCTATCTCTATCGGTGGGAGGTAGAAAATGTGTACTTCATGTCGTCAAACGCTCCAAGCACATGCATACGAGAGGACCACAATCCCCTCTGGCTTCCTTCATTTGTTTTGGCGCGGTCTCGTCTCTGATAACTGTAACATTGAACTTCTTTGGCTTCTTATTTCCAGACTTAGTCCAATAATTAATTGCATCCAAGAATTTAGCCAAATGAGAGCTCCATCCCTTAATAATATCTCTCAAATCAGAAAATGATATGTAATTTATCATGCTGTCATATACTATTGTCTTTAGGGATGGGAGCTGAAGGTCGACGAGAAGCCAATGAGTACGGTCCAAAACAGAGATAAACACCTGCATCGAAATGTAATAATTCAAATTGCGCACTTATTTATGAACACCTTTAAAATATTTAAACAAATATACTAACCTTATCGACCTCCCACCATGCAGGATAACGTTTAGCTTGTCCATTAGCCAACACATATGATTCCTGTCGTTGATTCTTCAAGTGAACTACGTGAAAAGACGTCGGCATAATTGTATATCGCGTTTTTATTATATTTTTCTTCAATTTCCTTACAATTAGAAGACGTGTCACCCATGCATCAATATGCTGTTTTACAAAAAAAGGCATATATTAGTGAATTACATAAATTTTAAAAAAAATTAATTAAACTGAAATATAAGAAGAAATATAAGATTTACCCCCCATCGAAATAGCAGTTGTCTTCAACCCCTAATAATACACTCCACCAAGACCGTTCAATCAACAAATGCATATCATCGTTGAGTTTGTATATATCAGCGTAACACCCTTGGCTCCGCTCATGTAGATAAAAATCAACTGCGGTCTTAGCCCAAAGGGTATTATCCAGAATTGTTTCCGGTAGTTGTTTCCTCTCCACTTCATCTGCCGGAATGGTACTGGCCGGTAACTTATACGAAAGCCAACAGTCATCCATCATGTCCGGCACGTGAGGGGGCTTCTCAATAATTCGATATATTACGCCGTATGAATCGGGCTCTAGAATGTTGGGAGGGACCTCTTCAACGATGACAGTGGCCTCTTGAACGGTGGGAGGGGACTCTTGAGGGATGATAGGGCCTCTTGAACGATAGGGGAGTCCTCTTGAACGATGACATGTGAGTCGGGCTTTTTCTTACGGATTCTTCGCATTATTGGGGTGAACGGAGACGTAATGGCACGTACACGCCGTCTGATACGTGAACTCCGTCTTTCAAGAAAAACCCGACGTAGAGCATCCACCTTAGCGGGCCGCTAAAAATAAATTAATACATAAATTAGTAAATAAACAGACATGATATTAAACAGTGAAAACAAAGACAAATATATTTCAAACTTGCTTGGTATTCACCCAAGTCATTATTATATCATTGTTCACAAAATGCATCAGATAACATTCCAGAAGTAAGCACTTATATAAACATTTAAAAGGACAACATATAGGTTTAGTGCAGGTTCAATGACAACATAAAGAGTAGTAGTTTATTCTTGAAACTTATATTTTCAACACTGTGAAGTTAGTATTTGTCTTTTAGTTGAAGTAATGCAATTCATTCAAGTTTCAATTTGCAGAAAAAAATAGAATCTGAA